ACAATGCATATTTCTAATATGTTGCTACAACAGCAATATAGAGAAAAGAGTTTTAAAAAATACTCCGACTTAATATCAGTATTATTGGTAGCTGAGCAAAATAATGACCTTTTGATGAAAAATCATAATCTGAGACCCACTGGTTCTAGTCCTTCGGCTTATGGTCCATCTGGCCATAATTTAGCCACTGAATTAAATGCAACATACAGTGGCAGTAGAAGGCATTTTAAACGTGGGCATTTTAATGGTCATAAAAACAAGTCACATCGAGAATATAAACAGGTCAATAGACCCAATTATAAGGGCAAGGGCAAACAAAAGGCCCATCAAATAAATCGGCCTCCAAAAACCTCGATAAAGACGACTTGTTATAAATGTGGCATGACGGGGCATTGGGTTAACAAATGCCGTACTGCGAAACATCTGGTGGAATTATTTCAAGCTTCCATGAATTTGAACAAAGGCACAAATATGGAAGCTAATTATGTCAATGACACAACTCCACCTCTGCCAAAATTTGATGTGTCCGACTTTTTCGCGGATGATGCCATTATAGACGACGCTTTTGCAATAAACCAAAATGTCACAAAATAAAATATTAGACTCCGATCCTTATGTTGTAACATATTAGTTTTATGTATTTTTTCTTTCTTCCCTTTTTCTTTTGTTTTTAAATAAATGTGTGTAATATATGTACTTTATGTTAAATTATATGCACGATTTGTGATCAAGCTTATGTTTATTTACACATTTTGAAGATATGGATCACTCAAATGATAAAGAGCTATGTCTGATAGACAGCGCCACAACGCACACCATTTTGAGAAATAAAATATATTTCTCTCAAATGACTTTAGTTGAGGCTAAAGTCAATACCATACCAGGTGTTGCGAAGCTCATTGAAGGCTCTGGGAACGCATATGTGATGCTCCCTAACGGGACCAAAATAATTATAAATGACACTTTATACTCCAGCAAATCGCGGAGGAATTTATTAAGTTTTAAAGATATGCGTCAAAATGGTTATCACATAGAAACCATGAATGAAAACCAAAAGGAATATATTTGTCTTACAACAACTAAATCTGGCACTAAATATATTTGTGAAAAAATGTCAGCATATTCCTCAGGACTATATTTCACATATATTAGTCCATTTGAAATAAATTTAGTTTCTAACACAAAGTTAGATGATCAGAAAACATTCATGTTGTGGCATGACCGTTTAGGTCACCCAGGCCATGTAATGATACATAAAATCATTAAGACTTCACTTGGACACCCATTAAAGAATATAAGGGTTCCAATATCAAGGGATTTTCCTTGTAAGGCATGTTCTCTTGGCAAAATGATCATCAGGCCCTCTATGAACAAAATTGCAACTGAATCACCTGCATTTTTAGAAAGGATTCAAGGAGATATTTGTGGGCCGATAGCCCCACCATGTGGACCATTTCGATATTTTATGGTGTTGATTGATGCTTCAACACGTTGGTCACATGTCAGTCTGTTATCGACTAGAAATCTAGCATTTGCTAAACTCCTTGCTCAAATGATACGATTAAGAGCTCATTTTCCGGATCATTCTATAAAGAGAATCCGACTTGACAATGCAGGAGAATTTACATCCCAAACATTTAACGACTATTGTATGTCTATTGGGATTGATGTAGAGCACCCTGTTGCTCATGTCCATACACAAAATGGTCTTGCTGAATCTTTAATTAAACGATTACAATTAATCGCCAGACCATTATTAATGAAGTGTAATTTACCTTCATCAGCTTGGGGACATGCTATTTTACATGCAGCAAATTTAGTTCGGCTTAGACCGACTGCATATCATGAATATTCCCCAATGCAATTAGTTACTGGACAAGAGCCAAACTTAGCACACATAAAAATATTTGGTTGTGTTGTTTATGTTCCGTTTGCTCCACCTCATCGTACAAAAATGGGTCCTCAAAGAAGGTTGGGAATTTATGTTGGATTTGAATCTCCCTCAATAATAAAATATCTCGAACCGATGACTGGTGAATTCACAGCACGGTTTGCAGACTGTCATTTCAATGAGACAGTATTCCCAACCTTAGGGGGAGAAAATAATAAATTAGACCCAAGTACGAAAGAAATTACATGGAATGCAACATGACTATCACATCTTGATTCAAGATCAAATATATGTGAGCAAGAGGTGCAAAAGATAATCCATTTACAAAATGTTGCAAATCAGTTGCCTGATGCATTCACAGATACAAAAAAAGTAACAAAGTCACATATTCCTGCTATGAATGCCCCTGCCAGAATCGAAATCCCAGCAGAGAATTCTGAAAAATCTATTGCAAATGATTCTTCTATACGCAAAAAGCGTGTCAGACCACTTGGATCAAAAGACATAAAACCAAGAAAAACTAAAAGGCAGGGATTGATTTGTGATGCCAAAGATGTTCATCCTTCTGAACAAGAAAATGAACAATTTGAAAATACTGGCATAGAAAATGATATTGACAGTACAAACATCTCAAATGATGATCCAACTTCCTTAAATGAGGAAGATATTCCAGATAACGATAGAAACGTTGATAATTATGAAATTTCAATAAACTACGTTTCTACTGGAATGCAATGGAATCGTAAAGATGTTGATAATAATGAGATATTTGTCTATGCCATTGCCACGAATGTTATGAATGAAAACAATGACAATGAGCCAACATAAATTGAAGAATGTCGGAAACGACACGATTGGCCAAAATGGAATGAAGCTATTCAAGCTGAATTAAAATCACTTGAAAAACGTGATGTTTTTGGACCGATAGTCCCTACGCCAAGAGGCGTAAAACCAGTGGGTTTTAAATGGGTATTTGTGCGTAAACGTAATGAGAAAAATGAAATCGTAAGATATAAAGCCCGACTTGTTGCCCAAGGTTTTTCTCAAATGCCGGGAATTGATTATGAAGAAACCTGTTCTCCAGTAGTTGATGCAACTACATTAAGGTTTCTCATTGGCATGTCTGTTTTTGAAAGGTTGCAAATGCGCCTAATGGATGTAGTGACTGCATATTTATACGGTTCACTCGATACAGACATTTATATAAAAGTCCCCGGTGGATTTAAAATGCCTGAAGCTTATAGCTCGAAACCTCGAGAAATGTTTTCCATCAAATTACAAAAGTCATTGTATGGACTAAAACAATCTGGACGAATGTGGTATAATCGTCTTAGTGAATACCTTCTCAAAGAAGGATATAAGAATGATGCAATTAGTCCGTGTGTTTTCATTCGGCGATCAAATTCGGGATTCGTCATAATTGCAGTATATGTTGATGACTTAAACATTATTGGAACTCTCGATGAGATTGAAAATACTGCAAAATATCTTATGAAAGAATTTGAAATGAAAGATATCAGGAGAACCAAATTTTGTCTCGGACTTCAAATTGAGCATTTGAAGAATGGAATTTTCATCCACCAATCCAATTACACCGAGAAAGTGTTGAAGAGACTCTATATGGACAAAGCTCATCCTTTGACTTCACCAATGGTGATTAGATCTCTCAACATACACGATGATCCATTCCGTCCCCGAGAAGACAACGAAGAAATACTCGATCCTGAAGTGCCATATCTGAGTGCTATTGGAACTTTAATGTATTTAGCTAATAATACTAGACCAGACATTGCATTTTCTGTAAATTTATTAGCTAGGTACAGTTCATGCCCAACAAGACGTCATTGGAACGAGATCAGGCACATATTCCGTTATCTACGTGGTACAGTTGATCTCGGCTTATTCTACCACAAAGAAGCGAAAGCTGCTTTAATCGGATATGTAGACGTTGGATACTTATCAGATCCTCAAAATGCGAAATCACAAACCGGGTACGTATTTACTTACGGTAACACCGCAATCTCATGGAGATCTATGAAGCAGACATTGACAGCTACATCATCAAATCATTCCGAGTTAATTGCATTATATGAAACCGGAAGAGAATGTGTGTGGCTGCGGTCTATGATTCAACACATCCAAAATGAATGCGGTATGAAGCCTATTACTTGTCACCCGACTGTGATCTACGAAGACAACACTGCGTGCATAGCTCAGATTAAAGAAGGCTACATCAAAGGAGACAGAACGAAACACATATCACCAAAGTTCTTCTCTACTCATGATCTGGAGAAAGAAGGGACGATCAACATTCAACAAATCAGATCTAGTGAAAATCCGACTGATCTCTTCACCAAATCTTTACCCCCAAAGAAGTTCATAGAACTTGTACAGAAAATCGGCATGCGCCGCCTTCAAAATTTATGTTAATTTCAGGGGGAGTATTTGAATGCACTGCACTCTTTTTTCCTTCATCAGGTTTTTATCCCACTGGGTTTTTCCTGATAAGGTTTTTAACGAGACAGTACATCCAAATACAACGACATTATAAGTCGTAATCTTTACCCCTTAATTTTCACAATAATTTTTTTTAAAATAATAAATATCTATTCAAGGATGAACATTCAAGGGGGAGTGTTGTAAAATCCTTGTCATCAGGACACTAATCCAATTTCCATCCTTGTAATAGACAGATGGCTAGGTTTAATGTTTCCAGCAGATTATGTAAAATAATTCTTTGATGATTCATCTCCTAGGCAAACTAGTATAAATAGGGTGATCAACCCTTTGTAAATGTACTCAGAAATTCAGAAAATATTCAGATATTAAGGGGGTGTTTGGATCTGATTCTTAAAACTGCTTCTGCTCCTTCAGGGAGCAGAAGCAGAAGTTGGAGTGTTTGGGTGAAAATGCAGAAGTGATTCTGGTGCTCTAATTTACTCCTAGAATCAGTTTTTTTAGAAGCTGGGGGTGATCAGTTTCTGAAAACTGATTCTGATTCTGCTTTTTCTTTAAAAAAGAAGCAGAATCAGAATCGGTTCCAAACACCCCCTAAGAAAAAGTAATTTAGAGTTTTCTATCTCTTAAATTTGATCTTTTCCTTTCACAACAAAAATGATACCAGTATATCAGTATATGCAAATTTCTATTTGGCATTTCGGTGACGGGCATACAAAAGAAGCGCCGGTCTGAAACCGGATCCACTGCGTAGCGCCACCACCGTCTTCCACTAAACTTGGGTGAACGTCCGCCACCTTTCTAGTTTCGCTGCACACAGCATCAGCATCACTCGAAGTCACTCTCTACACACGTAAACCGCTCTCTCTTTGTTATCGATTGTGATTTTTCTTATTTAGATCGCTTGAAGCCTTGAAGGTTCTTCTTTTTTTAATTGGGATCCTTTTGAAGTCTATATCTGGGTACGGGTAGGGATATGATCTGCCGTGCATGAACTCTACCAGTCGGATCTATTTCTTGTATAAATAGATTGTATAATATCTTTGTTTCTCTACCAATAAGTTTTGTAATTCCTGATACAGAGGTAATACTTTAGGGGTTTCACGGGTTGTTAGCTTTTTCAAAGGTTCCCATTTGCTTCACTGTCTTCCCCAATAAAGGGCAAGTATGTCTAATTAGGGGATACTGCACATTAGCTCATCTTCATGTTTTCTTTGCCTCATTTCTTGAAAATTAGTCGCGCTCTTTCTCGTACAAAAGTTGAAGGCTCCCAGATGAGCTTTTGCAAAAGAGCTGACATTAATATGGAGTAATATCTTAAGAAACTATTTTTTCATTTCGTACCTTCTTGGCAGAGAGAGAATAGCACGATGGTGACCATGGATCGCCTATCAGGTGCTGCTAATCTAATGATTGTCTCTGATCTTGATCACACAATGGTGGGTCCCTGTTTTTGTTCCTTTTCTTTCCTCAGCTCTGGGGTTCCTCCCTTACATGATTGGGTTATGTTTTGCAGGTTGATCATCATGATCCTGAGAACCTTTCTCTGCTAAGGTTTAATGCCTTATGGGAAGCGAATTATCGCAATAACTCTTTGCTCGTGTTTTCAACTGGGAGGTCGCCTACACTTTACAAAGAGTTGAGGAAAGAAAAGCCGATGCTAACTCCAGATGTTACCATTTTGTCTGTGGGAACTGAAATAACGTACGGCAACTCAATGGTGCCAGACATTGGTTGGGAAGAATATTTGAACCACAAATGGGACAGAAGCATAGTAACTGAGGAGACGAGCAAGTTTTCTGAATTGAAACTCCAAGTACACTAATATGTTGATGTATTTCATTTCAGTTCTACGGTTCTACCATTTTTATTTACTTCATATGTAATAAGTAACTAATGTTTTCATTCCTTCCAGTCAGAAACAGAGCAACGTCCACACAAGGTTAGCTTTTATGTTCAGAAGGATAAGGCTCAAGAAATCACAAGAGCTCTTTCCACACGTTTAGCTGAGCGTGGGGTATGACAAATATTTCAGTACTCTTTGCATAGTTGAACACTTGTTTTTGTTTTATCACAATTTCAATAAGGCTGTGTTTGGAAAATACGAAAATAGCAGGGATATGGAAAATGGTTCTTTGATGTGTAGGTTTGCCGTAGAAAACATTACGGGAAAATGTGATTACAAAACTTTCCAAAGTTTAAATATATTTAGACTTTTTTTTATCTTCAATCATGTAAATATTTGAACAAAATGAGTTTGAAAAAATATCAAAATTGATATGTTGAGTTTGAAGCCCCCCTCATATTCCGTTTTCTTCCAAATTCCCACTATATATTTTTCGTAGCATTTTCTGAGTTCCAAACAGACCCTTGGTGTGTTTTCATTCTTGCTGCTTCAAATGCAAGAACTTCACATGCTATTGACATCAATATTTGAAGCTACACTTATTCACTGCTTTGACATATTCCACTGTTTTATGATCCATAGTTGGATGTCAAGATAATTTATAGTGGAGGGATGGACTTGGATATTTTGCCACAAGGTGCTGGCAAAGGTCAGGCTATGGCGTATTTGCTTAAGAAACTGAAAAGTGAGGATCAACTTCCCAAAAACACTCTTGCCTGTGGTGATTCTGGAAATGATGCTGAACTGTTTAGTATCCCGGATGTGTATGGAGTGATGGTTGGCATTTCTCTTCATATATTACTATGTGTTTTGTTTGTAACCATGATGTGCAAGACTAGGACAGCTCTTTTAAGTTTAATTTGATTTTAGGCTATGCCTGGACTCAGAAGATGGTTATTGAAAAATATTAAGGGTCTGTTTGGGTCAACGGGTTTGAAGGAGTTTTGGTGGAAAGGCTTTGAAGAGCTCATTCTATACCTTGAAGAATATTTGCAATTTCTTAATAATTGAAAGGTCAACATGATATGTGATATGACCTTTTACTCCTTTTAAGGATGTTTTCACTCTTATCGAAATTTTATGGCCAGGTGTGATCTGTTTAAGTAAACTGGTATGGTTTGATATAGGTTTGTTTTATATGTATTTTACTATTGTATATGTGTGGTCTGCTCTGATTTGGTCTGAGATTGGAATAAGCTCAACTAAAAACATCTAATGGAACATTTTATTTATCAAGATACATGATTACACTCCAAACCCTCTATCCCAACATACCATAAGGACTAGTTTTTGTATGTCTGGCTTGATCTTGGAAAATCAAATTTGATAAGAACATTTATTGGCAGGTTGCTAATGCCCAGGAGGAGTTGCTGCAATGGCGTGCTGCAAATGCCAAAGGTAGTCCAAAAATACTCCATGCGACTGAGAGGTGTGCAGCAGGTATCATACAAGCCATTGGCCATTTCAATTTGGGCCCTAATAAGTCTCCTAGAGATGTTACGGGTGTGACAGATTCTAATGAGATATCCAGCCCAGCTTATGAAATTGTGGAACTTTTTTTGTTTGCGGAGAAATGGAGGCGTGGGGAAACTGAAAATTCAGAGGCTAATTTGGCAAAGATAAAAGATTTTTGTGTATGTTATTAATTTACATTTTTCATTCATATTTTCAATTTTCCTATTATGTCAAAGCTTGCCTCTAGCCTTTAAGTTTTGCAGCGTCCATCTGGCATTTTTGTCCACCCATCAGGTGTTGAGAAATCTCTTGAGGACTGTGTAGATTCGTTAAGGGTGTCTTATGGGGACAAACGAGGGAAACTTTTCCGCGTTTGGGTGGACCAAGTTATACCTATGCAGGTCGGTTCGGATTCATGGTTAGTGAGGTTCAAGAAGTGGGAGATCTCTGGTAAGTTCTTTTTGCCTTAAGCATTAAATTGAATTCTACCTTTCGCTTCCCCTATTGAGGACTCAACAAAATATAAAGAACTTTGGGTAACCTTGGGTTTCTACGTATATGTGATTATAAGATGCAAGCTTTCTCAGTCTGACCATATCAGTTTGTAGTTATTTACATGAAGAAGACCAAAATACCCTTATTTTAGTTTTAGGGGTTAAGAAACCAAAAATGAAAATATTTTAATAAATGAGACAGGACGATTTGATTGCTAATTTGACGGTGGATTTCCTTTTTCAAATAACAAATGTAGTTTTCAATGTCCACCACCACCGATCAGGCGACCAACTTTCTCCCTTGGAGCTTTCACAGCCCCACTGCTTCACCCTTTCATTCACTACACAACAATGCCTCCTTTATTGCCGCTGTAATCAACTTTCGTTCACACCTCCACATCCTTCAGACCCTTCTCCTATCACAGTTCATTGCTTCTAGTTCTTGCCACTGTTTGACATATACTGCCTTCACTGCACACCACCACTTCCTTTACTATGCACCACTGTCGATGATGATTGTCTGAGCCTTGCAAAGAATTTGAAAGATGCGACCGACTCTTCGAATGTATATCCGCAGATTGACGATGCGTAGTTCGATGCGATGCATGCGATCGACTATGCGAGTGATGTTGTTCTCTCTCATCCATTCACGCCATCATCGCAGTTAACAATTCTCTAGCTTGCTGTAGATTTCTCTCCACATTATCCATCCTAGCTTCCATCTTTGCGCGCATCTGTACCATCCACAGCGATCGAAAGCTCTGATACCAATGTTAGAACTCTGCAATTTCAACAACTACTTCACAGAGATTCCACAAGAAAGTAATCTGCGCAACTTTATTTCTTAAGGTAACAATGCAACACATGAGCCGAAGCCCCCCAAAGATAGAGATACAACTCTGATCTTCCCAGATGACTAAAGTCAAAACAGCCTACTTACTACTTCCCTTTCCCATCTATTTATACTAGAGACCCTTATTACTAATATTATTATTATTATTATTATTACTTCTAATATTATTCTAATAGGTAGGTCCCTATCAGCATGAGATTAATGACTATGAGAGTGCTTTAACTTTTAACATCATAAGTTTCATATCACAAAGGTAACAGTAAAGGGATCGCTCTTGTATACTTTAGTAACAGTAAAGGGATCGCTCTTGTGTAGGTGAAGAGAGGCAATGTCGCTTGACCACAATTCTGCTATGCTCAAAGGTAGATAGATTGCCTCTAGCATTGGGCAGCAGATCCTAAGACAAAATTGTGTTTCATTTAATTCTGCATTATTTAAAAGTGTTTATGTTCTCTCTCTCTCAGGACCTGAATGATGCACAAGGTTCCAAATGCATGTATGTGCACCAGACATGGCTGCAGGGAGCAGCAGCAAAGGATGTCAGTTCAACTCTAAACTGCTTCTTCTTCTTCTAAGATCACCCTCATATTGCACCTCAAAATCTCTAGTATTCTCTCCACCCTCGAGGTGATTAAGATAATTGTCACATTACTCTTGTTTCTATGTGCAAGTACAAACGAAATTTAAAAGTATCCCAATCCATGAGTACATCTCTTATCATAAATTGTAAATTTCTGCCTGAGAAGGTGAAATGACGAAATATAATTAATCCATATTAAATAAAGGACCTGCTAAAATACCTAGCCCGATCAATTTAAATTGCATCGGTGGAATTCAACAGTGGAGTATTTTTTATAAATCAAGTGAATACCCTGTTCCTCATAAGGAATGTACCAAAAATTAACATAAACGAAGAGACTTATATTAGTTAGTTATATAGACTTCAATTTCCCAACCGAACATTTTTTTCTTTCCCTTTTTCACAACCAAACCTATCAACTAGTAGTATACAAAAATGGCATGTTGAACCAACGTTGGCATATTGTGCAACTAAATTATACAGTAGTATCAAAGAAACTATTACAACAGCAACATGATTTACATGAGCATATAAATCAGAAATTCAGAAGTCACACATTGTGCCGTTTGAGAGACCTAAATTGTATAATCCCTCTGTAAAGGGCTTGCCAATTTTCAGGCATTGACTTGAACCTCTTCTCATCATCGACCACCCCTCTCCTCAGACTGGCTGACAGTGATTCTTGTCTCTTCTTTTCCTTCTCCGGGTAATGGTCATCATGGCCATTTTTGTTCGACGGCAATACCTCCTCATCCTCCGAAAACCTCACCTTTTTCTCATTTTCACCTTTCACTATCCCTACTATGTATCAACAATGAGTCATCTCAGTTTGCAAATAAATAAATAAATCTCACTATGAATAAACATAATATATAGCTTACCGTATTAATAGGTTTTGACTTACAAGTCAATGGTGAGAAAGTTTGGACTATGATTTTGATAAGCATAATAATATGAAAGTCGTAAGTTTTATACTTTTATGAAATTACTTTTACAAAAAACATTTTCATATCATTTTTATGTCATAAACAATTTTGTATAATGGTTGTGATATCATGTATCGATTCATGTTAGCCGACCCCAATATCTTTTGGGACTAAGGCTTGGATGTTGTTGTTGTTGTAAACAATTTTGTATAAAAATACTACGTATATAATATGTTAAAGTTGAACATGATTTATCAAAAAATTCAAAGATGATAAAGATTTAAGGGCAAAAGGAGTATATCATAACTAGGGTATTAAAGTTTGTTATCTGTGTGACTTGGAGCGCTATTGAAATTGATATTGGGAACCATAATTTATAAGGTTCTAGTCAGGTTCTATCAAATTGATTGTCATCAGTTTCAAGACCCGAATCGGGTCAATTTAAAAGATATAGCGTATGTCATGATTTAATCAGGCCATAAATTGAAACGCAAAGGCTATTTGTACACGGCAAAGTGTACACGCTATTTTGCATGCCGGTCAAATTGTCCGTGTACAGACAATTTGACCGACGTTTTGTAAAGAGATTTGATTTTTGCACAGACAAATTTTGTCTGTGTGAAAACCAGTTTTCTTCACAAAACATCGGTCAAATCGTCCGTATACAGACATAAAATGTCGTGTACAATGGCGTGTACACGAAGCAGTGTTGAAATTGAAAAACATGTTATATCAAATGGCGTGTACAATTGACAGTTCTAGAACAGGATGATGCTATTTAAGGTTTCGGTTTTGGAACTGGACCAAAACCATGTCTACAAGATTACAACTCTACCATATGCCTTTATTCTAAAATAAACAATTGTATCCAACTAAGACAAGTGAATTCATGAGTTACCAAATTCAAATTCAATCTTGTTCATGAAATCAGACATGAGGTGCTTGTGGGCTTTGAGGGAAAGAAGAACAACGCTTCCTGACACTGCAAAAACTGCCATGCATCCTGCTCTCAATGAAATCTCCATTTTTCTTTGCTTGATTTTGTTGCAAAATAAAGTTCACATGATGGCTAATATAAATCAGAAGAAGAGGAAAGGCTTGAAGTTAAACACAAGAAACATAAAAAAGAGCAGGACAAATGATTTAACCAAACATTCTTTCTTTCTTTCTTTCTTCGTTCATTAGGTTTTGCCAAATGCTATTATCAAACCGCATCTGGCATCTATACCCTAAAAAGAACTCTCACTTTATTCATCTCTTCCTTGTATTCAGGTTCCCTTGTATTTATATACACTTTTTACACATAAAATCTATGACATCCCCTTCCTTCTCATACACTCCTCTCATTTATGATTTAATGCAAAATACCATTAATATCCTTCACGAGTCCCTAATATTTTTCTATATCATTATATAGGGAAGCTAATGATCATTTCTGGGGGAGGGGGTTAAATGGAAAATGTAGGATACGTTGAGCCTGTCAAAAAAGGAGAGCTAGCCAGAGAGTTTGTTGTGTTACATTGCTTGGTGAATGGTGAAGCGTACAACTTTATGAATGATACATTTGTTAGGGCGTTAGTTACTTGGGCCATCCCTCATTATTCCTTATTCTTTATGAACCAACAATATGTGGATGGTCATCTCAAATTTTGGGTTTTCGTACTACTTGGGGGTCTTGTCATAATAGGTCATAATTCACTAGATGCATGTAAAGATTGGGAGAACTCTCCAAAGAGAATAATAGCATGCTAAAATTTTAAAAACAGGTATTAATGTTTAAAAACACATAAATAGGATTTATTATTTGTACTTGGATAAAAATGTCCTTATAGGGGTTAGAGCATTGGCGCCGCCGGACCGCTGCCATTGGTTGCCGGAACCCCTCCGTCGTTCGCCGCCGCCGGACTGTTGCCAAACTGCTGTCCCCGCCACCTCTGTCGGACTGCTGATGCCACCAGAATGCCCTGATTATATTGGAGGAACTAGAGCGCAATTGATTATATTAAGAGTAGAAATATAATATTTAGTCATATTGAAAGAAAATAAAACATATAGTCCTATTTAGAGAATATGACTATGTTTTAATCTTGTTTAAAGCCAACTTCTCATAAAAATTAGTTGATTAAGAAGTATATTAACTCATTTAGAAAAGTGTGGGTGTGCAAGATTAAGGAAAAATGACAGTCAGTGTCAATGAAATAAGTAATGATAAGAAATTATGAAAATCACATATTGCGATCTTGTTTTTTCAAAACTTCATATCACCTAAAACTCCCCGGCACAAAAGATGCATCTAGCATTCTAGCAAACCCTAGGTACGTGTGAGTGAAGAGGTTTCTTTGTCTATTCGGAACAAAGTAGGAGCATGATTTTTGTATTCGTCATGTTGGAGCAACTCGTCCTCCTTTATAATCACCTTCTTGATCTATGAAGGAACTCTTAGTTTTAAGTTGCGGTTTCGAGTCACTCTTGATTATGAGGTGATTTTTAATTTGAGTTACTATGTTCTAGCATTTGTTTTATTTTCGAACTGGATTTTCTTTTAGTCGGTTTATCTCTAGAGTTTGGTAGTACTTTGCAGATTAGGGTGAGTGATGAGAGGTCTCTTTCGATCGTCTTTGACTCACTTGTGCCCAACTTAGAATCAACGAGTTATATTGCTCTCTGCAAGGTGATTAATTAACTCTAAATCTGGTTCGCATACTGATAACCGATAGAAAACTTGTTGTCAATCGTATTGTAACTTAACGAAATTTTGATTTATTAATATAAGTCATTTACAATAAAAAAACATTTCATGTCACCCCTCCGATTTGGGAATCGCATGGTTGACATGTATATACAGGACTTCTATTTGTGTATGTATAATATAATTACTCTTTCACCTAGTCCAACTCAGATTTCGGGATCTGCATCTGAATAGGGGGTATTATGTTTTATTCTTAAAATAGGACTTCTTATTTGATAATATCAAAAGTATACCCCAATAATTAGGAGTGAATGCATCATACTTTAGAAAGAAAATAATGAGTCCTATTTATACCCGTTCTCTATATTTTAGTCTTATTTAAGGAATTATCTAAAAAAATACTCCATCTTTCATTGAAATATTAAATGTTCAAAAAATAATGAATATAGAGTAATAATTTTTTGGATTAGGACAAGAGCATAAAAGGAGAGTTTTTATTAAAATTTCCAAAAATGAGACTAAAAAGACTAAGATGACCATTACACTTGTACTAAACCCTGTTGACCTGCAATAGTGACCAACGCTTCAGTGACCATCGTCGACCACACTGACACCAGCGATCACAGTGACACCGCCGGTCATAGTGACCACCCTCAGGCAATTACAATTACATCCTGCTAGTTATAGTTACATCCAGTCAGTTATAGTTACCTAATTTTCAATTGAAAACCACACAATCATGACACAAGGTCTCACCACCACCGCCATGACCCGCCCTACCGACACCACGACCCGCCTTCACCGACACTGTGGTCGTCTCTCAAGACGGATAGCACTGCCTACCGTCGCTCCTCCATCGCCACCCCACGTTTCGCTTGGCCCATCCCTTGCCTCACCCCACCCCTTCCCTGGCCCCACTTGGCCACCTAACCCCTAGCCCCACCCTGCCTCACCTGGTACGTGCCACCCAGTGACTGTTTGACCAACCGAAACTCTAATCTGTGACCCTAGCCGCATATGTGTCTGCCACATCAGAAACTCTAGTCGCGTGCCGTCGGTTTGGACCATCGTTCACCATCCCCCACCTACGCCGATTCGTAGTCTTTCATCGCTAATTTCCACACTGCTCCTTGTCATCATCATGTGTGAGTGCACATTTTTTACGCAACATCTAGAAGAGAAAGTTGTCTTTTTTGGTTAAGTTAATTAAATGGTCATCTTTATTGATAATAGATATATAAATATATCTCACCAGACTTCGATCAGATTAAATAAACGTAAATACTAGACTGAATTGACTGGGATCATATCAGATTCAAAAAGACCATTCTATATTGTTTTTTAGTTTAGCAAATCACACTATTGCAATTTTTAGTAAGAAGTTGCTTCAAATAGGGCTAGAGCTTAGACAAATAGGAGTTGTTTCTTCCGACCTTCCACCTGCTGGGCTTTTTTTAACTTAATTAAACGCCTCAAACGACGTCGTGTGGTTAAATGATACCAATTTAGAAATGACATCGCTCATCAGTTAATCCTAAGGCTGATTGCAACCCGGAAGGCGAAAACGCAATTTTGATGTTTTCACTGTTGGAAACAATAAAAGGGGCATAATATGTAATTAATTAAAATGCGTTTACCATCAGATAAATAATAAAAATAAAGTGGCTACTCATGATATAATAAAAGTGTAGATACTGAGATAATATATTTGTTTTGGTGACGGGTCAAATTAAATATAATACACTAAAGTGATACGACAGTTATGACTCCCGGTTATGACTATGTTTTAATCTTATTTAAAGCAAACTTCTCATAAAAATTAGCTAATTAAGAATCATATTAACTCATTTAGAAAAGTGAGGGTGTGCAAGATTAAGGAAAAGTGACAGTCAATGTCAATGAAATAAGTAATGATAAGAAATTACGAAAACCACATATTGCGGTCTTGTTTTTTCAAAATTTCATATCACCTAAAACTCCCCAGTACAAAAGATGCATCTAGCAAACCCTAGGTACGTGTGAGTGAAGAGGTTTCTATGTTTATTTGGAACAAAGTATGACCAGGAATTTTGTATTCATCATGTTGGAGCAACTCGTCCTCCTCGATAATCACCTTCTTGATCTATGAAGGTCTCTTACTTATAAGTTGCGGTTTCGAATCACTCTTGATTATGGAATGATTTTTAATTATAGTTATTATGTTCTAGCATTTGTTTTTATTTTCGAACTGGATTTTCTTTTAGTCGGTTTATCTCTAGAGTTTCGTAGTACTTTGCAGATTAGGGTGAGTGATGAGAGGTCTCTTTCGATCATCTTTGACTCATTTGTGCCCAACATAACTTAGAATCAACGAGTTATATTGCTCTCTGCAAGGTGATTAATTAACTCTAAATCTGGTTCACGGATTGATAACCGATAGAGGACTTGTTGTCAATCGTATTGTAACTTGCCGGAATTTTGATTTATTATTATAAGTCATTTACAATAAAAAACATTTCATGTCACCCCTCCCATTTGGGAATCACATGGTTGACATGTATGTATAGGACTTTTATTTGTTTATCTGTAGTATAATTACTCTTTCTCCTAGTCCAGCTCAGATTTTGGATCCGCATCTGAATAGGGGAGGTATTATATTTTATTCTTAAAATAGGACTTATTTGATAATATTAAAAGTATACCTCAATACATAGGAGTGAATTCGTCATACTTTAGAAAGAAAATTATGATAGTCCTATTTATATCCGTGATGGAGTATATGGCTCAGGAACCCGCGATCCACATACTCTCACTACTACGAACAGGCCCAACAGGCCCAAGTGGGCCAAACACAGCAGACAAGAGTCCGGACAGCGCATGCTGCACAGGGTAGAGCCTTCAGCCTCTTGACCGAAGGATTCATCTTCAGGAAATCGATCACACCTGGTCCAGAAACACAATTGGGAATCCAAGGCAAAAAACGTCAGCATTCGGCATATACAACCCCCGTGTCCATGTAGCCGAGGGCACTACCCCGACAAGATCTTCTCTCTGCACGCTCTGGATCGCCGCATTAAATGCGGTGTCACGTCCAACCACCGCATTAAATGTGGTGCCACATGCTATCCCGACGCCACCCTAGTTGAGTCGACCCGCCACCGTTGATTGCTTGACACGTGTACTCGCATTAAATGCGTCTAGCATTTATGGCTACTATAAATAGGACCCACTTTTCCATTGTAAAGGATCAAACACTTTTGAGTTCATTTAATATACACCTACTATCTCTCTTACTTGTTCTAACTTCTCTTTAGATACCTTTCAGCGGTATCCCCCGGATATACTATTTGTCATTTGGTGCTCTCGTTGAGAGGTCGAACAATCAAGCAAGAACCCTTCCCTTCAAAAAACAGAAAAACACTTATCAGAATGGGAAGAACTCGAGGTCAATCCAAGATCCTAGAAGACAAAATTCTAGGCCTCGATGAGGTTAACGCCACTGAAGCCTCCAACAAGGCTCCCGAAGGCGGGGCCCTCGCTGAAATGGAGCAGGCCGCTGCTGACCTGCCCCTTCAGCTAGAAGAATGCTC